GCTTGTTTCTGCGTGTTAAAAAGGTATTGAACAAGTAATTAAATTCTGATGCAATAAATATTATGATGTGGACAGACTAAAACGACACGAACAAAACATTATGCAGGCTTCCCTTTTATAACATGCTATTTGTAAACATTGTTTCGGTACAGCAAAATATCAAATATCCGTTCCACCAGATTATTCTTCAATTGGAGAACTTTGAGAAAAAAAAAATTGATTAGCTCTAATTTTTGGTGAAAATTAATTTTGTAATCACAATTATATTTTGAATACATTTTTAAATTTTATATTTCATCGTAATGTTGAACTTTATATATACGTATATTTTTTATAAAAACTTGCCGATAACTTACTTTTTCATATATATGTACATTCTGAACGAGGTTTTAGTTTTCATAAAATTTTACACTGTGAAACTTTGTTTGGATTAAATGGGGTACACATTGTCTTGATCTATATTATTCCAATGGATTTCGATACAATACACCATACACTGCCTTGATTAATGGTATATCTAAGCTTAAATTATAATATTCTGTATTATATCTTAATTTAAATAAATAAATAAAAAAATTTCGTATAACATGGCTTTCACGCAGCGTTATTTCAAAACCGTGGTATATTGAAAAAGCCCATGTACAATGTACTACTTAATATCACTTTTTATTAAGAAAGAACGCACTTCAACTTAGATTTTCAAACAATGAATAATTTCTCACCATTGATCCAAGTAGAAGTTGTAGCGTTTGTGGTACTTGTTTTAATATCTCTCACGGTCATAGCAAATCAATATGCAAGTAAACCTCCAACTAAAATATTCAAGTGTATATGTAATTTTCACGTCAATAAGCAAAATTTATTCTGCAACCTGTACATAGCTCCCAAATAGATAGATGGCAAGAATTGTTTTGCAGGCGATAAATTATCTGAGAACGAAGGGAAGGCTAACCTAAGACGAGCACACAACAGCTCGCATGGAAGGTAAGGGTCTATACATAGCTGAAAAAAGGAAACCCCATTTCGATTTCAAAGTAAGCCAAATTCTAAAAATAATGGCCAAATTTTACAATAACGGTTCGATTAAGCTCCGCATACTTGCGAAGAAATTTGGAATGCTTATGGTGAAGATGCTTTGAAAGATCAACAGTACATAAATGATTTATTCGCGTCTGCCTTGGAAACTTCAAATTTGAAAGAGGCGTCACGCAATGTTTTTGCGGGAACGGAAAAAAAAACTTGAATCATAAGCTGCTCTAACCTGAACAGATAATTGATTATCAATGAATTAAAGCAGCCAGAATATATCAATAAGCGTTATCTGTCATCACGATGATGCCAGATTACGCACATCCTTGCATGTTTTAATGCATCCAGCAGAACGCTCTTAATGGTTTAAAGGTGACATATAAGACTGTTCAACCTTTCAGATGTTCTACTGCGGAAGTATAACGATTCCACCTGAAAAGTAGTAAAAACTTATCGATCAAAATGAAACATATTTGATTTAATAAAGTTTAGGTAAAATATAAAGGGAAAGCTTATATTGTGGTCGTAGTTTTTTCCTTGATTTAATATATACACCGTTAAACGTAAGATACTCAAAATCTATTTAACTTGTGACATTATTATTGAATAGTTGAACTAAGCCAAAAACTTATGGAATGTGCAAACAAAAAATAGATGTACTTGAAATCCTTATTGAGTGCTATTTACGCCCAATTTTCAAAATATCACAAAGTTGATATATGTATAATTGTATTGTTATGAAATTCGCTTTTGCTATGATACAGTTCGTATCACTAGATCGTGGATATTTTGATCAAAAGAAATACACTCCAAAGTTGTTTTATATTACTACTTTGTCTTTCACAACAGTAGAAATATTTATTTACGATTTATTTTGGCCGTACTCTCAACTTCTACGTTCTTGCCAAACTAACTCTACTTTTCACAAATATTCGATTATATACAATTTTACAAGAATGTTACTATACCTAAATTTATGGTTATGGTTTAATCCCAGCCTGGTTTTTCCTCTAATCGTTTCCATCGGCCTGCACCTGCATGACGAGCCTGCGAATATGCACTTAGCTTTTACCTGTTTGCTTTTCCAGTAATCGTTTTCATTGGCCTGCAGCTGCATGAGGCGCCTGCGAATGCTCATTTGGTTTTCCCTTCTTTAGGGAATTTATTCTTACGAAAATTACTTAGCTGACATTTAACTGAATTTGGGATTTTCGTAACAGTATATATATTCTAATAATATACTCGGCCTCCTAATATATTTTATGTTCTAACATCACAAACTGGTCTAAATATTTTAAGATGTGTTTCAGTTACAATACGCTTTCTTTTAATTATATTGGACATAACAACAATAAGTAAAGGAATAACTCAAAGCGGTTATCGTCACTTATCGAAACAGGTTAAATTTCAGATGGCATACCATTAAAAAAATGAGGAATATCATGACCACTTAATGTGTTAATCCTCACTTCATTCCTTCACTATATCCAATCAACATCGTGAAAGTTAGGGTCAAAACATTTGAAAAAATTCGCTTGCATCATAACATTACAACGCCCCAATGAATCCTTAAAAAATCTATTCCTCTAGTTTGCAATTGTTGACACAATCTCACTATCAATAAAGTATTAAATTTATTAAAGTGACTGAACCAACTACTTGGTCGACCCCTTAAGACAAAGAACAGATAATCTTCGTTGCTAGTTTTCATCCTACTTTCTACTCTCAGAACTTAAATAAACAATAATAGTAATAATAATAAAAAAAATATTACATTTTCTTTTAATATGTTCGCTGTAATGCACCGCTTACCGTGCGACCCAATCAGAAATTTAAGCTTGCCATGAAAATATTTTCTAAATCTCGTGAGCCTTTTTTAATGCTTTTTCGTATTTTCGAAAAGAAGTAGTTTATTTTATAACTCATTTATTTATTTTGCTGAAAGGCACATCATTTTGGAAAATTATTAATGTAAACTTTTTTTATATCAAACTTTATACGTGTATTGGATTTTTTTATCCAAATGCTGCATTGACCGCCACGTACTGAAGGCTTTGAAGATATTAAACTGAAAGGAAAATATTCGCGCAAGTAAGATACCAAATAAGAAATCCGGCAACTTTAACGTACATGGAGCGACTAGTTCACCAGCCTTTACTTTACACAAACTGGTTGATAACTGTCTTGTTAATCAAACCTCTGTTGAGTATTTTTTTTTATCGGGCTTGCCTACGAAATGCCATAGCATCAGTTCCTGGAAAAGCAGTTTGTTTCAATTGGACCCAAAAAATTCATGCAATGAATGTGTTAGCAAGGAATCCCTATCTGGGGATGAGTTCAAATGTACAAGCAAACGGTTACGGAATGATCATAAAAAATTTTGATATATTGATCGCTCAGTGTCGCTTCCTAAAAAGCGACAACAATCTATGATTTGTAAACTCGACTACCAAAAGCATAAACGTCGCGGCCATTAAAGATTGTATTCTTATTGACAACGATACCTAGCAATATTTTTTTATGCCTTCAGCAACCAATGAAAACAAAGCGTAATTTCGAAGGATATTAACGTCCAGTTTTTCCCAATTAGAAGATGTATGTTAGATGGCTTACGATGTTATCAGGATGGATCTTACCATTTACGATGTTGGTCTGATTACAAGACTGCCTGATTTGAAATCCATTTATTCCGTTATATACCGACTAGTTAATAAGCGTCACATATTCCAAGGAAACTTATCTACTAATATTATCTAATTTTTAAATATATGGCTTCTTGTCGCTTATGCAATTGCGATTGTCAGTAAAAGGAAACTTGCAATAAGATTGATTTGTTTTTGAGTTAATATTTTTCTAGTCTACAATTATCAAATTAAAGGAGAATTTCATTTTTTCTTTAGTTTTCAATTCGTTTAAGTTATTGGTACAAATAACAAAAGCAAAAAAAAAACAAAAAAAAAATCTAAATGAATGGCTTTTCCGTAAACACCTAACTAACCTTATTTGTTTATTTACTTAACCGACTTTTAATGCTTGACGGTATCGTGGTTATTTTCTGATTTTCATTTAAAAATTTTTTTTTTCGTTGCCGGTTTCAAGAAAAAATAACCTTCCGAGTAAAAATCTTAAAAATAAGAAAAAACATCAGGTACCATAAGCAGAAACTTTCAACACACAATATACTTACTTATAATAACCCAGTCAACTAGGCACGCAGGCAGCCAAGCAGCCAGCTAGCTAGCCAGTCAAGCAAGCGAACAGAGTCCGGAGTCATTCAGTCAATATAGTTTCATTTTGAAGCAGTATCTGAAATCAGTACGAGTGATAAATTGAAAATTAATGAAGTGAAAATAGATGGAACGGATCGCAAATTGCGCCAAGCCAATAAAATATTTTGACATTTGGAGTTATCGTCTTAATCTGCTTCGATGACTTTTAAATGCAGCAACAAAAACAAAACAAAAGCAAAAAAGAAAAAAAAAAGACTAAACGTAACTTAAACCAAAGGAACGCAATTCCTACTATTCATCAGAGAAGCGTACGGATTGTTTTATATTTGTTATTGTCTTTAGGTAGAAAGAGGCATATAACAACACAGACACACCGATAGAGCAGCATAAACAGAAACCTTAACTCAAATGAAACGAAAAGGCTACGCATGAGCTATACTTTGTTTTCATTCAGGTATAAATAAGCGAACACATATATAGTCACATTTATGTTTGATATATACATATATATAGATATATATATTTTATGTATATATATGTAGATATATATATTTTATATATATATATATATATAGATATATGTATTTTATATATATGTATATCAGTCGACTTGACCAACTTATTTCGTATATGTTTGAAGCATACCGCCACAATGTTTATTAATGTTGTTGTCGCTGCGATTGTTGTTCGATTTTTTGTCTTATTTCGCATGTATTTTCTTACGTTACTGCTTACTTTCAGTTACTTGGCGGTGGTGTGGCTCAATCTGTTACGGCACCGTTGGCTAGCAGTGCCCCCTCGCCGCTGTCCGGCTCAAATGAGAATTCTTTAAGTCCATCAGGTGGTTCGGTCGCTTCGATTTCCAATGGTCCCTTAAGTCCAGGTGCAATTTCGCAGACATCAACTAACAATGCGGGCAGTATGCCGTCAAATCCTTCAGCTTCTTTAATGACACCAGCAACAACAGTATCCGATGGTACATCAGCGACGACAGCAGTAGCAGCGGCAGCAGCGGCAACGGCAGCTGATGTGATGAATCCAATAAATGCAGGTTCTTCGCCATCTTGCTGTGAAAACGGACGTCCGATTATGACAGATCCCGTCTCTGGCCAAACTGTATGCTCGTGTCAATATGATTCGGCTCGTTTAGCATTATCTAGTTACTCACGCATGCCTGCGACGAGTGTTGGTGTCTATGGGTCGCCCTATCCCTCCACCGAACAGAACCCCTATCCCAGCATCAGTGTAGATAGTTCAGCGTTCTATACACCATTGGTAAGTCATTATTCATCTAAATACGATTATTAGTCAATTATCATTTATCTGACTGTAAAATAGTAAGTGAGACAGAGGTAGAACGAGCAGCATATCTGCTAGACAAAGTTAGACAAAGTGGTGATGAGGGAAATAGGAAATGAGAGAGAGAAAGAGAGCGTATAGGTGCTGCCTTCTCTTCTCCAATTATCTTGTAGATGTCAAACATTTAATTCAATTAGTTTAGTTGTGCGTATGCAGATGAATAGTCGGTTGCTTGGTGGATGGGAGAACGATGCACATCCGCATAAGCATGACTACGGTTATCATTATTTGTGTTATTCCCATTACATAAACGTACCCGCATTCATCAGCAAGCGTACGTACCAATACGTGTCGTATCGCCTGATATCGTACGGAAAATAGTGAAAACCCTTTTTAAATGAAAATTGACAGTATGTTTAGATAGACTGACAACCAACTGGCCAGCAACGGCCCAGTTTGTTGCGTCTTTAACTACGTCATAATATTGCATGCATACATGCACACATCAAGCAGGCGTATGCATTCAGTACACTTAATCAGATAATGCTATAATTTTCAATTTTAACTTTGTATGCCTGTCCGTTATGGCAAAGACAAATGGCTTTTATTTGTATTTCTATTTATTTTTGTTATACTATCATTATTATTATTATTTTTATAATTTGAATTTATTTTTCTTTTTAATTTGATAAAGTTGACATATATTCACTTGATAAATTTTTTTTTTTCGGCACGGCTTCGTATTAGAACCATTTGTGACTTAATTATGATATTATAAATAGAATTTTATAACTTTATGGAGTTCGTAATTGTAGTCTTGAAGTCTTAACCATTTCTTTTTTTTTAAATTTTCCAGAGCAATCCCTACAGTTTAAAAGAAAACTCCAGTGGCAGTGATATGACTACTTGGACTTCAGCCGGATTACAACCAACTCCCAGTTATTATTCATATGATCCTACATTCGCTTACGGGTAAGTTGATCGACAATAGAGTTAAAAATTTTATAAAACTAACTTAAATTCGCTTATATAAAATGCATATCGAACTGACACAAATAGCTTTAAAAGGAAAGAAAAAGAAATATTGCAAAGACAAACAACTAAATTAAATTAAAACAATCTTTATGACCAACTTAGGATTTGTTGCTTAATCTAAAACTCGTTGTGGTGTTGCTTGAATTGTAATGTTAGCCTGCGGCAGATCGTTTTCCTTTTTTTTTTTTTTTGATGTGCAATGAAATAGACCACCTCCTCCTTATTCTCTCATTCTAGTTCTTTCCCGGACTGTCTGTCTGTCTCTCTCTCTGTTTTATTTAGACAGCCCCAAGTAAATAAAATGCTCCTTTGAAATGCAGCTTAAAACAGAAAAATCTTTTCATATGTTTTAATGGTTCACTCCGGGGATTTGTCTTTATTGTTTTCATTGTTGTTGTTCTTGTCGTTGTTGTTGTTTTTGGTGAGTTTTCTTCACACATTTCACACTCAACAAGTGTTCAAGATAAGCGATATATACAGTAATAAAAGAGTTCTTGGATATATCAATAAGAAATAAAAAATTTGTTTGCAAAATTTCAATTTTAAAGCAAACAAAAAGTAAGGACAAAAATGAAAAATAAACTAAATTGTGTGTATAAAATAAACGAATTAATGAAAAAACGGAACGAAGTTTTTTAATATTTAATATCATGACGTTTAATATGATTTGCATTAGAATTTTTTTTAAAAATTAATAGCGAAATCGACAAGATTCTAATTAAATAGATCCCATAAAATATTATTAAAAATTATTAAAAGTTTACGAAATATTTTTTTTAGAAAAACTATTTTCGAAAAAGAATTGTATGACAACGTGCCCTTTAAAGTAAAAGTATATTTATAAATTTTTAAAAAGAAGAAAATGGACCTTCGAATAAGAAGATGGAGGGGTGCCAAGCCGTTACGATGACCGTCACGATAAAGAAGGCATGAAGACCTTTGGGATTTTACATCACCCGTCTACTCATCCAGTCCGTTACTATTCTACACTTAGGCCAAGGCTTTTAGGTAGAGCTTTTCTATACGATCTCAACTACCTCTATTACTGATGTCGGGGCTATAAGCAAATGTTTTGAGTTCTGTAACTTTTATAAGCCATCTGTTTTGAAATTAAGCTTCTGTACATGTCCACAAGTAATGCTTATGAACCAATTTTTGTTAAGTGTACCATGCGGCAGGCGATCTTCTACTTTAACTTAAGCCAATTTCTAGTGCTGATATATAAACGTGTGATAGACAAAAGATATCCAACGTATTCTTCATCAATATGTGTATCTAAAACGACTCAAGCCGCTCTTCGTCTTTCTGAAACTTTTCCGATTATCGAAAATTGATTATTAAGCTAACCAGTAAATGTAATCGGTAAATAGACGTGATCCGACAAAAATCATAGGCGACCGTTTTACATTAAAAGACTTAATTTGTAAGCGGAAAAGAAGCAAATTTCTCGTAATTGTAATTTACGATCTATGATAATCGATCTGAAGTGAGCCATACGTATTAATCATTGTAAAAGCAATCTGCGTAGCACCTATTAGTCGATAATAGGTTATCGAAAATTCTTCATTGGTATTCGAATACAATTGTAACGTCCTATTCTCCGTAACAGAGAATGATGTGTTCTTCAATGTCATAATGCCAGGAAGTATGCGTAAGAGATCCCGTAAAAATTCTGATCTTGTTCGCAAGTGTCCGTCCGTCTAAAGCCATTTGTTAGTCGCGAATATGTATTGGTTTCAATGCCCATATAGCTGTAAGTCGAATCGTATAGCAGATGGTAGTCTAAAATTTGATGACATGAATTTTGCACAGCTCTCTAAAGGTTTTCATATGCACCTTAGAAATAGTTTTGCTAGGCGAAAGACTAATAAGAAGAGAATAATAATAAGATCGTTCTTTTAATAGTGATAAGTTAAGAGACTATTGACGTATACTATACTCGAAATGGGATTTTTAAATATTGCAATAATTAAAATTGGCAGTACATTTAAACCTTTTTTTTATGGTCTTACAATTGCAGTTATGGCCCATCGTATGATTTGGCCGCTCGTCGTAAAAATGCTACTCGAGAATCTACGGCCACTTTAAAGGCTTGGTTAAACGAACATAAAAAGAATCCCTATCCTACAAAAGGTGAAAAGATCATGTTGGCAATTATCACTAAAATGACGTTGACTCAGGTATCCACTTGGTTCGCCAATGCTCGACGGCGTTTGAAAAAAGAGAATAAAATGACTTGGGAACCGAAAAATAAGACAGACGATGACGAAGATGCTATGCTATCGGATGATGATAAAGATTGCAGCAGTGCAGATATGGATAAAGTAGGTGGCACTATATACTCTCAAATGCAAAAAGGTGAGTACCATTATTTCTAAAAACTAAAGGTGAATATATCCTGTTATATGTAAAGTTCCGCTAACATTTTACATTTACAACATTTCGCGTGATATCATTATATAAAAGGAAACTAAATTTCTTTAAAACTAAAGGTTCTCTTCACAAAAACCAACTAAATTGTCTAAACACGTTGTATATGATGTTTTGGCGGCAGAAGTGCCAGCTTAAAATCTAAGGCTTAAGTTTTTATTTTTTGTGTGTTTTTATTCTTTGCTAAGCGAAAGCCAAAAAATGAGAATAAAGTGTTCTTGCAAAGGCAGACTAAAAATATAATATAATAAAAAAATAGAAACAGAAAAAATATAGAGAATTGCCGTCTTGTATTTAATAAGGACTATTTAAGGACTTTTTGATCTTTTTCGCTTCTTTTTTTGCACTTGTTTAACTACAATTACAATCGAGAAGCATTTAACAAAGTCTTAAAATCATTTATTTTTGCGATTCTGATCGTCAACAAAGTCTTACATTGTTTTTGCTTTTTGTTATGTTTTTCATTTGTTATAGATAATGATATAATGAAAAATGACCTACAAAAGAATCATCAAAAAGATAACAACAACGATTTAAATGACGACAATAACAAACCAGAAAATTTAAGTGCTACCACAGCTGCTTATAATATGACACATGGCAATATTTATAGTCCCTATCAGTCGGCTCAGCATTTACAACATTCCTATGCCTACCAAACAGATCTGCAAAGTTACTCGATGGTTTATAATACACCAAACGCCCCTAGAGACGATTGTGGCATACCGTTGCCAGCTAGTAAGCCGAAAATCTGGAGTTTAGCTGATACGGTGGCCTGTAAAACACCACCTCCCCATAGTATGTATGGTATTTCAAGTGCTGTTCATCATCAACAATCACCAGCGCAAGCACAAATTAATGGACAAACACGTTCATATTATGCTAATAATGGACAAATGAATCATGCGGGAATATCTAATAATTCTACAGCCTTGACTCTGATGAGCAATTATGTGAATAATACAACATATGCCAGTCGTTCAGCTAATAACAATAACGGAGATGATGGCAATTATGGTGCAGCAGGTTCTCAACCGCATGGCTATCATGGCAATATGAATGCTATGGCTAACATAATGCAAACCCAGCAGCAACACCTTCAACATCAACAGCAGCAGCAATATCAATGTAATACAATAAACCAAAGTCAGCAACAACAACAACAACAACAGCAACACCCACATCAACGTTTGGGGTTCCCCGAAATACAACCGGATACACCACCTCAGACACCACCCAATATGAAACCAGGCCAGAGCCTAAATTCTCTAATGCTTACACCTCATCATACAATCAACTATTTACATAACAATCCAACAGCAGCAGCAGCAGCAGCCGCAATAGCAGCAGCAGCACATAACGTTTCCTATACTAGTGATATGTCTACGACAGCAACTCAAAGCAGTAACGGAGCTGGCGGTGGAGAATGTTCGGGTGATAGAGCTCATAATATGGAAATGCGATAATTATGCAAATGAAGTACATTTAATAATAATAATAAAAATAATAATTATAAAATAGTTATAATAATTAAGGGAATTGTGCAAAAAACCAAATAAATCGAAATAAATTAAAAATAAGAAAGAAATTTAAGAAAAAAAGATCATTAAATTAGAAAAAAAAAAAACGGTGAAAACATTGTTTCACCCCTGGACGAATTTTAGATACATAACCATCCCTATGCAGAGCGACATAAATGTAAATAAAATGTGAATGAATAAATATCGATTGGTTTTTTCCTTCTTCACTGATACCGACAGTAATGAGATCAATTTCAGGTATGACTTCGATAAGTGTGTTAATAGAAATCCGCATACCATCGATAGTTATAGATAGTGGTAAATCATTCGTTTTTTTTTCACATCTTGCTTTAACTATGGATTTGAGTGAACCGTTAATATATTACAATGAAGGTTCATTTTTGGTTTTCTAACCCTACTGGTTTTAAAATTGACAATTTCAGGATTAAGAACGCAGAGAGACAGCTGGACAGCCTTAAAACAAAATAGGTTCTCATCTTATATACATGGCAATTTGTGTGGTAAAATGGTTCAGTGACTATTACATGCTATATAACAGAATAGTTATAACCTCTCATTTTATGATGATGGCTATATTGTTGATTATATTTGTATATAATTATCATTAGAGTAATACACATTACATAAAGGTATGCAAATACACTAACTTATAACACATATTTAATAATTTAGTTTCGTGCACGTAATATGATACATATCGTACGAAGTTCATATAACTGTATACATGAAGATACACACACAGACGCACACGCAAACACATACATATATATTACATTTTGTTTTCTAATTAATAAACACTTAAATCATAGTCTCGCCACAGTTCCCGGAACAGCTGCATCTGTAAATAAATAATAATAATAATAACAATAATTAATAAATAATAAAAACCTATAACTTGTAATATATATTGAGTTATTTTATATGAAAAAATAATCCTGGTATATTAATAATTTTTTTAAAAGCAGACAGAAGACATTACTCTTAAAACCTCATTGCTTTGATGCCCATCATTCCAAATTTGTTTTTCACGATTATATATGTATCCTTTACATGTAGCAGGCAGTCGTCTGGCGAGTACAATTTTCAACTCATCTCAGTGAATATAGATCTGAAATTTTTTATTAAAATTTTTGTTAGACCATCAGCATTTTCACAACAAAAGACGGACGAACGAATGGGTAAATGTATCGGGCGCATTTTTTAACATAATCTTGTAGTGTTTATTGAGAATGGCTAAAATAGCTTATTTGTCTTTATGAGATTATCCTGTGTTATGAAAAATCTAGCGACGATAAGTCAACGAACCAATGGACAGACAGAAGTCTTTTATGCGTATTCTTTACGGTAAAAAAACACTGATGACGAAAATATAACATCTCCATATTGAACATATGCGTTTGTTCGCACGCATGCGTGTGAAGCCGGGCATATATATAATTGTTAAAAAAATGAATTCGTACATATGTATTATGTATAATTTATTATAGTAAAAACGATCTCTTCATCTCTTCATCGATCTCCCCACCCCCTTTTTTTTCTTTTCCATAAAACTGCCTTATTATCTTGTTAAGCAGTGACTTGTTTGCGTATAACACTTAATATAAAATAAAATTTAAAAAAAAAAACGCTATAAAATTACTTTTTAAGGTTTCCATATATAAATTTATTTTGGTTTTTTCAACTTTATGACTTAATAATCGTAAGGAATGTAAGCAACATAGAAATTAGTAATTAAGCACTTAAATCTATATATGTGTGAAAAAAGTGGAATAAAAACAAAAAATTATCAAACAAACACATAAAAATTTGTGTAGACATTTATTTTTATTATTAATTAGTAACTAAATGCAATTTAAGTTGTTTTTTCCTTCATACTTATGTGTCCCACTCCCGTCCCAACGCCCCTCTCTCTATAACTCACTCTCGCTCTCTCACTTCTATTTCTCTCTACTTCTCTTTATGGACGTACCCACCACAACAACACAATTTTTTTATTGCCTTAGCTTCTAAAGTGGAAAAAAAATTTGAAATAAAAAAAATTAAAAGCATAATGAAAAACAATAAAAAAGCTACATGTAAAAATAAACAACAAATTATAATCTGTGATAATATTTAGAAAAAGTGTATAAAGCGATAATCTAATAAACATTATTATTAAGATTTAACGCATTATTGTACGTAATTCAGACACTAAAACAGGAAATGTAAATAAATCCAAGAACGAAAGTAAAAATTAAATAGAAATGTATAATTCCATGAAAATAAATAATAATAAATTAATATATGCATATATGTATATATATGTATATATAAGTAAACATATATTAAAAATATAATCTAAGAACCTGTGATTTGAATTTGTATTGACGGGGAATTTTATTTATTTGTTGCGTTAAATTCACTATCGAAGGGAGAATACCAGTATTCTAATTTAATCAGTATTTACGCAACTCCTAGATATGTCCGTCAAAGATTTCGTAAACTTTATACAAATGCAGGTTTTTTACTAATCGCCCCTTTCGCAACAACTTTTTTTTATCACCAGATGTACGGTATATTGCGACAACGGATATTTGAGATTTTTCCCATGTATGTCAGGCTAGTATGACGTACGTTGGCACTCACTATTTATTACTATGGCTTTGTTACATATACTTCGTACTGCCGAAATGTTTTCTTTTAAGAAAGGCTTCACGTCGGAAGTTTCAAAAAGACACGGGAAAACTGGAAACCTTTCCTTCTAATTTAAGATGCCAAGTTCTGACTGTTACGGAAAGTAAAAAAGGAGTAATTGCGTGCATGGGAAGGATAATATGTCCAAACATAACCAACGAATGTTCTAGAAATCAAGTAAAAATATTGTATTTATCTTGGAAAGAAATCTTAAAGTTACTTACCTCAAATCAATACATAGCAGTTACAAGGTATTTTCTGATTTTTGGGGTTTCCGAGTCGACCTAGTAAAAACTGCTTTGTATAATTTCAGATCGAAATATCTTCTGTTCTATGCTATAGGTTGATGACATTAATTTCTGCTTAGAATTCTTAGTTATTGTTTGAACCAAGTAAGAGATATGCTTTTTGTTCGCTGGCGTAAATCAGATCATGTCCATTCTAGCATTTGATCTGTCGTTTCGTTAACTACTAATATATTTTCTAATTTTAAAGTTCTTGTTAAGTTTGCCAGCATTCAGCTTCTGAGCGTTTTAAAGATAGACGCCAGATAGAGGGAGAGACATTCTCTGCGTGTTTGTAGGCGTTACAAGCGGTATAGTAAGTCTAGTATAATCGAATACTTAGGGCAAATTGTTAAGTTATCAAGTGCGTATATAACCGAAGCTTTGAAATGGAAAGAACGTGGTGCATCTATAGCAACGATATTACCGGAACGAAATTCGGCAAACCGGTTTTGGCGATGGTGTTTCCTCAACCGATACTCTCTATACACATATAAAATCTTTATACTTTTAATAAGAAAAAAAGCAAAATGTGCCGAAAGTGCTGCTTTCGACTTTTCTTATTTGATGGGGGAAGAAACAAATTCCATTGCAGAGAATCAACCGAATTTCTTCAAAAACAAGCCTTGTTCAGCTGAGCTTCAAATACCAGCTATCCAAATATAAAAGGCTTAAATTGTCGGTTGGGAAAAACAAACGAGACGAATTTTCGAATAAACTAAACCTCTTTAATTTCGTCATTTTTATTACTGAGAGAAGATTATGATGCGTACACGTTAAAATGGGAAAACAAGTCATAACTAATTTGTTCACATAATATAGGAGAGAGCAGTTTAAAACCCTTTGTGAAAGTAATTTATACTTCAGCGATCAGCACGATGGATTCGTAAGTTTATCTGTCTTTGGAATAAACAAGTGTGATAGCAAAATTTGATCTAGATAAACAAGAATCGCTTTAACTAATAAAGTTTAATACAGCGTTAAGTTCAAACACCATACGCTTGCTATTGATTATCAAAAAGCTATGAATCCAAGAATCTGCGCGGATGCAGTTGTACGTTAACTGTGCCCAAAGTACGAAATAAAATATTCACTTGATTTCTGATATGAGTAAAATTTTCATTTGATTTCTGTAATCTTCTGATGTAACTCTTGTGTGAACTCACTGAGAATTTCCTGTCACGAGATTTTGTAAAGTACTTTCGTCTCGTGGTTTCTTTCGTAACTGGCATATATCTTTTTGTAAGTTTGGGAAGTTCAAAAATTTCCTCATGTCCTTCGGAGAAATAATGTGAACTTGAAAAAAACCAAAAATTTTTAAAGAACATGCCTATAACACGCCTACACACTATACAACAAGTACTATGAACACTTTTGTTTTCTGTGTTGCTTGCTTGTTACCTATTAAGTATAATACATATACTATATAAATTAACACTTTTATTTTAAAAATAGAAAAAGTCAGCCGCGCCCGCTCGATATTATAAAGTACGAACATTTAATTCTTTTCTTTTTTTTGGGATCATGGTGATGTATAGAAAAGATTTGTTCACAACAATGTTTATTAGAATTTATAATTTACTGATGAAACTATATTGAGATTTCCGAATTTTTATTTGCCCCGCTGTAGTACGGATACGGATATATTTTCATTTTAACGAACTGTTTGGAACCGCCAAAACCAAGCTTAGGAGAAGCCACAAAATGCATATACTTTTAATCCGTATGAAATTCTGAATCGATATAAGCATATATGCACATCCAGGAAGTGTTAAACTTTCTCACGCTAGTAAATGTTTGGATATCGATTTTCAATTAATTTAAAATAGTGGTAGAAGTAGTTCTTGTACGCAGATGAATATTTACAGTGCAACTTAAGCTGAGAGCACCTCTGCTGCCCGAAATTTTTTGCCATTACTTGTAAACTGCAATGGATACAACGATAGACATTGTCCCATATACATATTCTCTAGCTGATACCCTAGTATCTGTGTAATAATGGA